TAAATACTCCAGTCATGTCATATCGTCCCTTGCCGCCGCTGAAGCTGCTGCTACTTCCGATGCTGCTACTGCTGATGAGGGGTTCGCTGGTGATGCTTGGTGTTGGTGTGGAGAATATAAGAGGTGCATATTTGTCCCATATATAGCAAGGCCTGACTCCAAGAGGTACCAAATCGTCCAAGAGGTTTAGAGGATCGCATCGATCCGACGGTTTGGTAAAACAAGGACGGTCGTCATGACTTACTGACAAACGAAATAAATCTTCTTTCCTAAGACCTGAAGTGCAAATAGACTGTTCTTGGATTTGTTGTGAGTCCCTTCACATCGTCTGAAGACACATTAATACGTAATAAGCATAAAGTCGGTGAATAACTACATTATCTTTCCTTCAAACGTCATGTATAATTTCAGGTTAGTAACGTTTGTGAATTGCTTATGGATGTCATGTTCTAGATATTTATCTTAATAAAAAGTGGAGCCACCCGTTGAGCATTGATTGATCGAGTTTTGCAGGGGTAAGGTATGATGTAACAATACTAGAGTTACTTGCGATCCCAACTTTATCAGTAACCTTATCAACCTCTCATGGAAATATAATCTTGCCTGCAAAACACTACTTATTTTATTGGGCAGCCAGAATAATGAGTTTCGATCTACCGTAGACGAAAACAACAAAAGTAAAAGAATTGTTTTCATTTTGATACGATTCATCTCCGCTAATTTTAATTGCGTGTTTTATTAGCTGTCGTGTCGTGGTGATAGGAGCTAGATGCTAGCACTTGAACCCCCTTTCTGCCCCTCCCCTCGCTTCTTCCTCGCAGGAACAGAAGATAAGAGCCTACGTTCGCACCTTCACCCTTGCCTAGTTGTATTGATATTAGCTTAGGGATGGTAGCGTCTCAGATACAAGCTTGGTGTCTTCTTTCCCTTGGGGTATTTACCTTGCACCTATACTGACTGTGCTACCCTGATGACAAGTGCGACCTATATCTTTCTAGCACATCAAATTTCAGGATGCCTTCCTCATCCGTCTTCTCCCTGATTGGAGAAGTTGATGGAAGCTCTGTTTTGAGTCTGTACCTTAGGCATTTTATGCTCATCCGGTTTATATATTTTGTGCAATTTTTATAACCAGTTATTAAAATGTGAGCGAAATATGTAGACAAATGAGTTTAGTTTCCCTTACAATGAGAAACTTGTGTATTCAAATTTTTTTAAGTGAGAATATAATTATCTCCATGAAATATGAGGTGTCTTTTTTCGCAGCAAGTGACGGCCATGAAGGTGTTCAGAGGAATCTCGTATTCCATGAGGGTATAACAAAATGTAAAAAATCACCCTTTTTAAACTCTGTTTTAATCTGTAAATTATCCTCATAAAATAGAAAATCTCGATGTTTGTGTTCAGTTTGGTGTGTTTTTAGTGTTTGCAATGCAATCGTTTCTGATACGAGCTAACGTTCGAGTGATGCGGTCGAGGTTTAAAGAAGGGTTTACGATGGGTTATGCGATTAGCCTCTTAACGGAGCAAACGGGAATACCGTTTACGCTCCCAAATTCTTGAAGATTTAAAAATTTACCGACAGCCCGGATCATGCTTCACAGCTCCATTTTTCGTAACTGGTTTTGTTCTGATTTCATAGGAGTATTACGCTCTTGCGATGGTATGCTTTTATCCTCGCACTGCTTACAATTTTGTTTTCTTTAATATCGAGATGCCTGGGAGACTAAGGAAGAAACTGAGAAACATATAAGATGAAGAATAGAGACGTTGCGATGTATATATTGGCTCTAGAAGGCCATTGACTGGAGAGAATACAAAATTGTGATGTAGGGCTAAACTTAATTTCCCAGAAGTGTGTGCACTATTGAGTTGTTCCAATTGAACCGAAATCAAATATTTACTCAGGATGGGAAACGGTGCTTCGTTTGTTTAGACTGAGCCAATGTGTCAACCTATAGATCTAAGTGTCATTGTCCGTAGGATCATTCCTCGAGAAACGAGATACTATTCCAGTAGTGTAGCTAGTTCACAAACACTTTTTTCTTATTTCTTTGTTTTAGCATGTATTTATTTCTATTTGGGAAGATGAATCTGTAGTCTCTTATCAAAAAATTAAAAGTCTAACACGTGTATGTTAATATATGATAGCCATTGTTTACAACCGGCTACCCTTCTAAGGGATGATGCTTAAAAGTGCGAAATTGATAGTTTGTCAAAGGTGAAATTTAAACTACAGCGCATTTTGAGTTTAGGGTTAGTCTTTTTAATTCGTTCTTACGGGAGCAATTATTCGTTTGATCCTAATAACGTCACTCGATTTTGAGTAACAATTTTTGCTTATAGTTTTATAACTTGGTCTTGCCTGAAAAGAATAAAGAAGCGCGATCAGGGTTACTTTCAGTAAACGAACTGCATATAAATAGCGCCATTTTACGTGAGTAAAATCCCTCAATGCGGCTTTTATAGAGCCCTCAGGTTTGAACTAGTTTATTTTTAGTGCAATGTTTACTGCTGTAAGGTTATAAGACCTATATATATAGTTCATTTTGCGTCACTTGGGGATTAGGATCTGTGCTAGCAGTTTTTAGTAAACTTGATTCCACATAGAAATTGAGTATTAAGTATATGTTCCAAGGCGTACATTGCGAAAAACTAGTTGTTGTTTCCCCTTCATATGTATTAGCCTGTTTCGCCGGCGCTTTGAAAACTTATGATTATCAAGTATTTACGACCAAAATAGAAAAAAATAATTCAGCAAAGAAACCGCAATCCTCGATTGTTCAACGGCTTAATATTCAGCCACGAGGTATGGAATTTTACACAGCAACCCGACTAATTTATCAAACTAGAAATACATTTCTTTGTCATCTAATCCGACCAGCAGTTAAACTCTTGAACTCCCAAGAACCGTACCTAGTGTTTGCTCCGATCAGGGTCTCTTCCAACATGGTGGAAGAGCAAACCAGAGCAAGAAAGGCAGTTTGATGAACCTTCTGTTTTATGCAAAAATTCTTTCACGTTCCCAAAATTTCTGCTTTTTGGCCTGTGGCGTCAGGCTCGGCTTTACTTCATCATATTTTGTTTTCATTTTTGAAAACTCCTTAGCCAGCAACCGCTGTTTACTTCATCAACCACAATAAACACATCAACGACAATTTTTTATTTCTTCTTCCTTTTTGTTAAACGGGTCTCGTAGTTGCATCACCAGTAACCAAGAACCACTCGTCGTCGACATGTTCGTCTAATTGTCGTTAGTATCTCTTGATGTTTGAAAAGCGACTGGTGGCTTGAGACTAGTACTTGGTGGAGTCAGTGAACCTCCTCTTTGGTAGGTCAATAAATCAATGAGAGGGAGTTGAAGTCAATCATGTCACAGAGACTCTATACCCATGGTATTTTTTCTCCATTCTTCGCTCAGATTTGATGGATAATTCAGAGCCTTTTTTCCCCTCTCTCTTTTGCTTTTGGGATTCTGTTCATGGTTGAATACCGCCGGGTGTTTGGATGAAAGATTCTTTCAAAGTCAGGTTTAAAGCGCCCCTCTTGTCGCAAACGTCGGGATGAATGAGTAGGGAGAGAATGAAGTAAATGAATTACCATTGCACGCAACAGACTTTTATTCCAGCCTTGTCAGTTTGCATTGCATGTCAAACTTACATTGCTTTGTGATCATATTTTGCTCCTTTGATATCACGTGAGCACATGTTATTAGTAATAAAATATATTACAAGGGTTTATGCTCATAGTCATCAGTCCACTGACACTGGAATTGCAAGCTGGATATTGAGGTACCAAAATCCGTGAGTATCGGATTAAACTTTCGGTCTACAATCCCTTCGTCCTTTGTTGTATTACGTACATACTGATTCAAAAATATTACAATGTTCTTGTCCAACCACTTATATATATATATATATATATATATATATATATATATATATATATTCCAACTTATTTCGAATTTCATGATGCCTCTGCCTTTTTTGTGTAATAGCTAGGTGTTGAGGTATCGTCCGTCGAGTGTAACCAGTACCGTTCCTGCAACGCCAGGAATGTGCGCGATGGTGGGTGTGCGTTGGGCATGTGTGTGCGTGTGAAAAAGAGGGAGAAAGAGGTGGAGCGCTTACATATTTCAACTGTCCCAATGTGCGCTGTCCCATTTTCCTCTCAGTAAGTGTTTACAAATTGCTCGGCCTGGGTCCCGTCGCCTCCTGCAACAAGTCAATCACCCCGGCTTCCAACGAAGGCTGAACTTGAAACTTGAGGGAAAGGTGGAGGACACTATTTGTTCGGTGAAATGAATCCCATAGTTAAGCCGTCTAAATTACCAATCGAGTAGGAGAAAAGATAGAAAAAGAAAGTTGAAGAAAGAGAGAGAGAAAGAGAGAGAGAAAGAGAGAGAGAAAGAGAGAGAGAGAGAGAAGGAGAGCGAGGAGAGATGGATCTTCAAGAGTAAAGTATGTGAGAGAGGGTGTAAGTAACCGCGAGTTCATTATACTACGGCCAAAGGAATGTCTATTTAGGTAAACAGCAATGTTGATTCATATTCTTTATCACATTCCTGTATGCTTCATAGATTTCATAACGCGGAGAGCTATTCCACCATTGGGAGATGGAGTCTGTCGTACGCCATATCGCCTCCATTAGCTTGAATTCCATCGGCGATCTCTGAGTGTGTACATATTGTATCAAGCCAGATCCCTGACATTTATTTTAAGATTTTAATCGCTTGAGCCAACATATCGGAATATTTTGCGCAATGCTGAATTCCTAAAATAACTTGTTTAAATCTGAACATTCGGCGGAGAACATTCAACCTTTGAATGCAGAATGTCCTTAGATGTCCTCTATCAATGAAAAGTTTTTAATGTATTATGGTTAATATACTTTATTACAAACAAATTAAGTTGATTTATTTTTGTGACTACTCTCATCCAAGCCATCTTGTTCGATTACGTCCAAATTATAACGAATCTTCTTCATCTGTGTCTTTTCAGATCAAACTTCTTGAAGATGTTGCCAGCAAGCGTCGGCCGGACATCGGCCTGCCGTATGGCCTCAATGGCACAACAGATCCTGCACAGACATGTCGGTACAATGGTCACATCAGAACATCTGGAAGACGCCAAGCCCTACGATGAGATCCCAGGTCCCAAAGGAGTACCTTTCTTCGGCTCACTCTTCGACTACACTGGTTTGGGTAAGTAACTCTCAGCTCTGTTCCCTAATTTTAAAATACATTCTTACAATTCGGTCAGACATTATCCATGTAATTTAGTCCTTTTCTACCTCATAGATGCAGTCTTGATTGATATATGCAAATAAGTCATTAGAGGGTTTTTTTAATCGTAAGAGGTGAAATTCAAAAAAATATTAACTGCTTCGAAAATTTTGAAAAACACTGGCCCCACAAAATAATATCGTGTATATTCTTATAGAAAGTACAACATTCGTTAAGTTTCCATTGTACCTTATTGCAGTGATTATTAGATTGGATTATTGAAGAATTCTAGGTTTCCTTGAATTCAAAGTGAAAAGTTTCAAAAGTACGATGGCGTGATGAGTTTGTGATTTTTAAATGCAATCAACGTCGTTCCGAACCCATGCAGGCCCTTACAAATTGGACAAACTGCATGAAGCCACCGTGGACAGATTCCGTAACTTTGGCCCCATCTTCAAGGAAACCCTGGCCGGTGTCACCCACGTACACATTATCGACCCCACCGACGTCCGGGAGCTGTTCAGAAACGAGGGGAGGAGTCCGAAGAGGACACCAATAGATGCCATGGTCAAATATAGGAGGACACGGAAAAGACACATCGGCATGGCAAACACGTAGGTCAACCACGAAGCCTCTTCCTCTCTCCAAAACTATTGCTCGGCATAGCAAGAAATTTTTGAATGTTTGTAACCTTGCATTTAGTTGCAAAGATGTGGGATATGTGATATTACATTTTTGGCCCGTTATCTACTAAAAGTTAAACCCAACGCTCGGTTTAAGCTGTTGTCCAAAATTGGGTTTAACGAAGGAAGTTAGTCAGAGGTCTTAGTTCTCGTTTTTTAAACGTAATCGGGTCGGGTATATCTAAATTAGTAATATGTGGTAAGTTGTTAAAAGTTCTGCAAGTTCTCTCCTTTTATAAAATGAATGTATGTCAAGGAAAGAACCACCGTCATAATGCTAACTGGCACATTAAAAAACAAATAGAAAAGTATTATAGCATTAAAGGGTCAGAAGAGCAAGCACAGTTTAAATCCCCAAGTGCGTCATTCAGCAGATTTACCATACCATACCCCCAAAATAGAAGGGGATTTACTGCTTGGAGTACAAAGCTGCTTTGAAGTTTTTGCTTTTGAAGTTTTCTTTAGGTATAGATTTGAAACTAATCGACCATCTGACTTTAAGCTTGATTTATTTAACTTAAAGTGAAGTTCCTTCGGCCTCTCGACAGAGTTACACTTACACTGATGTCACCCTTACGGCTGTTGAATCCAGGGTTCGATCCTTGGTGTTTTGTAAATACAGCGCTGCAGAAAGAGCAGTATCAATACTGATTTGGCTATCCCTTATCAGCAATCAATTATCTAATGATCATTGTTTAACAAACATGCGTTAATGGTTATTATTGTGTTTCCCATGCTCACGTTTTTTACGCTATGTTTTGTCCCGAACACAGAGAAGGCGAGGAGTGGCAGAGGCTTCGCAAACCTGTCCAGCATCTTCTGATGAAGCCTCAGAGTGTGTACGCCTATATTCCCATCATGGAAGAGTGTGCAGACGACTTCGTAACACTGATGAAGGAAACGCAAGACGTCGAATCGCAAGAAGTACCGGAATTCAACCACAAAATGCAGAGGTGGACGCTAGAATGTACGTGTACCTCTTATCGATAACGATGCGTCGCCATGATTTTATTATCTTGTTGCTATTACTTATCTTGAGAATTGACATAATTGTAAAGAAGGAATACCATTCTGTAGTGAATTCTTATCTTCACTTACAGTAGAGATGTTTAAGGTTTAAATTTCTGTCCTGTACGTTTGTACTTAGGCAATTCATCCAGGTGTTGCAAAAGGCTACCTAGCCAGATTTATTTTGTGAAAGCTCTGCGAACTGGTGTCGGCATTACTGGACGGCACTTGCCTTGAGAAGCGTAGAAAATATGCGATATGCATCATACAAACGTACATAAGAATGGAATATCACTAATACTAAAAAGAGATTCCGTGAACAGATCTTGCCAACTTGCTTTCTCCTTTTTTGTTATTTGTTTGTTTCTTTCTTATCAGTCTCATTCATTAAATTACGTGTTTTTATCCATCTCTCCTTTCCTATACAGCCGTATGTGCCATCGTCTTTGACACGAGGATGGGGTGCCTGAACACCGGGCTTGATAACAACCCTGAGGCCTTAGATATGATCGTCTCGGTGTCCAACTTCTTTGACAGTCTCAAAGACCTTACCTTCAGCTTTCCCTTCTGGAAGTTCGGCATCACCACCAAGGCATGGACAAAGTTCACCGAAGCACAGGACTACTTTTTCGGGTAATTTGACTTCATAATCGCTGATTCAAAAACCTTCGAGAAGTTGTGCACATTGTTAACGACGGCCGATTATGTGGCAAGGAACTGTCCCGAGTTGTGAAATTTCAAGATGCTAATTTAGTCATTTCATGGCATGAAAGTTCTGCGACTTTGGATCTCCCGCTAAAATTGCGTGGAAAAAAAATGAAGTGTCTCATTTTACGGTATTAACACGTGAACAAAAATATGAGTCTGATGAATACAAATGTTTCTTAAACATAAGTTGCTTTAAAACCTTACAAATTTTGCTACATTAAATACCCTTTTATCAGTAGTTACTCAACGCTACTGTCACTTGTTTTCTGATTAGAAAGGATTAAAGATGTGCTCCAATCGCTCTGTGAATTTTACTTCTATCTGTCCTGTGTCACACTTTGTGAGAATTAATTCGAAACGACAAAAAATCAATCGTTTATGCAAGTTTAGTAGTGTGAGTAATAACTGTTAAGTGGAGCGATTGGTTTAAGTTTTCCTAGCGACTGACATATTCCGATGAAATTACATAAGACGGTGTACCTAGAGACTAAACCTCCGCAGTATCGGGAACATGCAAAAGTAAATTTCCCGGCGGGTGCAGCATGAATTTTGATAGTGTTGATAGAGTCTAGTTTGACTTGTAATTAGATATCCCCTGTTGTGTCTCCGGGAACCAAATTACCGCCTTGGCGAACTCCTGGATATCAAGAACTTCCGGCGTACTTAATTAGGTCAAAAGTTAAAACTAGTGGCATGTATAATAGTGATGTTAAGTTTGCTAGGTAGATGGCTATGATGTAATACGAATGTGTGTCAAAAGATTTAAGCGAACTCGAGTGCCGAATACAAATTCGCTGCCATTAGGAATAAGGGCGAGCAAAAAATGCTTGAACAATCTTTGCGCTGTAATAGTGTCAACTTTTTACAAATCAGGATAATTTTTGCGTAATTCTTGTATAGATGCAAGATTCCAAGTTTGGAGAATCGGTTCTTATTAAGTATCTCCATCAAAATAATGTTTTGTTTTAATAAAATATAACTAAGATTGGAAAGGAAGTATTATAAACTTACGTAAAGATGCAAAGGCAAGTTGAAGACTGAATCGGATATAGTTAGTAACTTAGTATAATATTAATTGCATTAGATTAGAAATTACGATAAAAGCAAACCAGGCGTTAACATACACAATAAAAATAACGTGTCAATGAACGAATTTCTCCCATTTTTCCACAGAATGTCGAAAAAGTATGCCACAATAGCACTAGATAGGATGAAGGCAGCTGTCGGGACTAGTACTCAATCAGAATCAGAGGGAACCTTCCTCGAATGCCTCCTAGCCAGGAGAGACTTTGATATTGATAGCCTGTGCGACCTCATGAACGACCTCATGATCGCAGCGGTTGAAACGGTGAGTTTTTGTCACAAGTGAGAATGTAATCGTTGTCGTTAGTACACGGTAAGACTAAAACATTTATTTGGGGAAGGGGAGACCACGAGTCCTGCAGTGCTTCCGTGCCATAAAACGCTCTTGTATTCCTCTTTCCGTTCCTCTTCACATGGTTCCGAAGCAAAGGGCACGCTGAAGTTCTTATTTAGAAAACAAAAATGTTATTTTCTAGTTATGCCAAGTAACCTTGTGCAATTGTCTAAACGCATAAATTATGTCGTACATCATACTTTAGATTGGCCTGACTCAGAGCACTTTACGGTAAACACTTGGTATCCAATAAAGAACTATTTATGAAATCCGCCATCAATACAAAATTAATTCAGATGTAACTGTATCATTAATTTTGATCGAGTTTGTAACACTTTTCCCCTTCGCAGACGGCGAGTACCTTGGCTTTCAACTTGTACTGCTTAGCTAAGAACCCAGAGGTCCAAGAGAGGGTGTTTCAAGAGATTAACCAAGCCATCCCACCAGGAACAAAGATCACGGCTCAGTCGTTACAGAATCTTCCATACCTCAAGGCCTGCATCAAAGAAACTGTCAGGTAATTACCTTGATTCTGACTTTTAGTTCTTGATGATGCGATCATGTAAGGAACTGTGGCGATATTTGTAATGTTGGTCCGCCCGTTAGGTGGCGCCAGACTGACTAATGGTTTGAGAAAAGTTTGTGTTACCCTGAACTTGAAAGAAGAATTCTGAGAACCCAGTATATTCGGGAGGTATGGTGAATGAGATAACCAGATCTTAAACCCCCATATGATTTGATTTTTACATTTTTGTTTTTATGCATTTTATTATGTTCAAAATATGAGTGTACAGCTTACAATTAAAAGCAAAAGGTTCTCTTTGTATTCAATTACCATTAGTATTCTCTCAATGATTTGTTGATGATACAATACTTTATTGATGTCATTTCTTTCTGAATTTGTTTATCAGGGTCTTCCCAACTGTTGATGGAACAAACAGGATACCATCAAGAGAGATCGCTCTTGCAGGCTACAGAATCCCTCCTGATGTAAGTATCATCGAATATCTTTAAAAATTTACTGCATTAGGTGGAGTGCCAAATATGAAAATTGATTGTATAATTATAATTGTGGTGAAGGTCTAAATACTGAAGGAAAATTCTCTCCAAATTAACAAAAAAAAGTATCTTTAGCAAAGACGGCAGATAAGATGACTTCCAAAAATACAGAATAAAATAGAATGAAAACATTGAATAGCTGCATTAATAATTAAGAACTGAATCAGAATTATATTGAAGCACATGCCTATGAAGAATATATACTCAAGTAATTATATTTTGTTTTTGTATATCAGACCATTGTGAGGATTCACTGCATTGCGGGTCTCATGGAAGAGTACTTCCCCTCACCAGAGAAGTTCAAACCAGAAAGATGGCTGAGAGGCGATGCAGAGTGTGAGAACATTGACCCATATCTCATCCTTCCCTTCGGTTATGGTTCCAGGATGTGCACGGGCAGGCGGATGGCCGAACAGGACCTTTACATCATGCTGATCAAGGTATGTATCTTGGTTGTAATGCAATGTCCAGTGTATATCCCACCGCTGCCACCAAAATATGAACCACACGTTTTAGAAGTGCCTCTTTTGCTTTCAAAGCTTCTCTGTATAAAGAAACCTGACAATGATTATTTCTCTTGCAAAAGTGATGTTAATTCATTTGTTTGGAGATCGTTTGAAGAATAATTTGAGGCAAGATTCTACTTTCCTTGACGTGGGAATCTGGTTTAATTACAAGACCTACTTCTTTCATGAACATTGGAGTGACAGTGATGAGGCTTAATAGCATATTTCCTGGAGTACTTGCAGACTGACCTGGTTTTTCAATCCAGGATATATCCCATTCCCAAGACTGTTGTTTTAACGTCCAGTCTATCATGCCTCTGGGGAAAGTAAAGTATGTGCAAGTATTTCTCAAAAATTATGTCCTCATTAGCCGATTGCAAATAAGAAAAATATCTGGTCATTTTATGAATAAATTCCATCTTCTTCATTTCTTATTTCTCTTTTCTTACAGATCGTTCAGAACTTCAAGATTGAGTGGCACCATGAGGAAGACATGGAACTTATCTTCAGACTCACCAACGTTCCTGACAGGCCTGCACAGTTCAGATTCGTTAGTCGGACATGATATTCTCCATTAAAAAAAAACACTTGAAACCAAGTAGAACTATGTACTTGTCTACCATCGTGTTTCTGTTTGATTATCGTACATAATGTGGCAAGGCTAGCAAGCAACAACTGACCATTATTCTCCATCACAGCATTTAAGCTGAAAAGGATACAGCATCAATTTTTCGCATCTAGATGATCTTGTGCAGCTGTCACTGTGTTATAAATTCAAAGACAATGGATGCATGAAGCAATGGTTTCCTTCTTGATTTGCCGTCAACATTTCAGTGTCGATCTTTGGCCTTCAAAAGATCACATTGTATCCTTTGAGGTAATGTCTGCAAGGCCTTAAGTGAGTTCTGCAAACTCATTTCATGGACATTGTCCTCGTCAATTGTTGGCATTACAGACTGTTGGGATCAATTTGTGTCAGCCGAGTTGTGACCTGAAGGTTGCAACGTCCTTTCAATGACCAACACCGGGATTGTCACTAGAGAATTCTGCTGTTCAGGAAAGTTGCATGGTCAACAGGACCAAAGACATCATCAGCTGTATCAAGTTCAAGAACTTGTTGAGAATGTTTACTCTCTGAAAACAACTGGTCTGAATTATTGTTAAAATAAGGAGGCAGGGGAACGTCCTCAAGTCACATGAAGAAGTCTCTCCTATATACAATGTTTTCCATCGGAATATTGACACTGATAACGGGAGAGCGAGAGCAACTCCTCTGAACAAACTTGTCTTGCTGTGCTTTTGTACAAAATAACTACATCTTCCAAGTACTGTCCTAAATTCGCGCAAATTGTGGTACATGTATATTGTATAGAATTTATATGTATGAACAAAAAAACTTATCTTATATAGGTCTATATTCTTTCAGTTATTTCGATGATCATCTGTACATGTACATGTGACAACAAAAAAATTTGCATATGCATGTAAGTGCCTAAAATTGCTGTATCATTTTGTTTTATTTTAACATTATGTTTCAATGTTTGAATATTAGAGAACATTTTCAATGAACAAATGTATGTTTGTGTAGTTTCTTCAGCAATGTATTCGTAACAACCCAGCTTTTTTTTTTGCAGCGTTCAAGCAACTCAAAGTGTTTTTGAAATGATAGAGAATGCACTAAAGAGCGAAACAGGTTAGAATCATGAATGCAGTTTTACATGTATTAAGTAATAAAGGGATCTTATCTGACTCAATGATCTCTCGCTACAGCTTTTTCTTTGCAACCTATCTACAGCTTGGCGCTTTATAGGTTGTTTTAGCTAAAGACAAGTAAAATTTAAAGAGACAGGGATTCTAAAATTCTATCTGCGTCATGCATTAAGTGCGTTAAATGATATACGACTCTTTGTTTTCATTAGAATATGATGTCATTTATGAAGATACAAATTCAGAAAACTGGAATTTTCGACAAACGTTATCAAATTACATGTTCTAATTATGTCTTTGTTGTATCGAAGTATGCATATGTATTGATTCGTCAGTTATGTGTGGTAATTCATTGCTAAAGTTTGTATAGTATTTTGTATATGAAATTATTGTAAAATGTGTACATATTAAGGCGATTTTTTAAGTACCACCCAGTTTCTATGTAAATATGTAAATATCGTTTTCAAAAATGAAATTTATATTTTAAAGGCCTCGAAAAAAAAAAATTGTATCTCAAACTTTATTATACTCACCGTATATCGAAAAGCATGTTATTTTTTACAGGAAAAAAACACGAGTGCTCGTGACCTAAGTTACAAATAAGTCACGTTTTTACTAATTATAATTATATTTTTCATTTATGATCTGTTGGTATAGGAAAATTGCCAAATCGATGCACTTTCTGATTTTAATCATAGTTTCTTATGGTTTCATGCTAAAAGTTATTTATTGCAGCTGCGTGCATTTATCAAAGTGTTGATACAGAACAATAAATGTTTTTGTTTCATATTTCTTTCAATTCATGTTTAATTTGCTATTCTCCTATTTGTTGTTCATAATTTTGTGACCGAAAATCCAACAATCAAATATACATTTATTATTTTTTGGCAAATGAATGATATGATGTGGGGAGTTAATATATACTTTTAATTCCATCTGAATATACGTAAATTAAACATTTTTGACCGTATTCATATTATTCTACTACTTCTATCTTTGGGAAGGGGAATATTGGTTTTTGATTTGTTTTGTTGTTGTGTTTTAATGACAATGTCGTTCCATTTCTCACAATCACTAAACAAACGTAATTATGAGGTAGAATCATTACTTTCAGTGTAACGTGTTGGGACACTATGACAGGAAAGATAATAAGTAAAACTTCATTAAGTCGACATGAAACCTTCTGCTAAATGACTCGAGTATCTTTGTGCTTATATTTGCTCTTTGGTTTTTATTTATGCTAATCCTAACGAAGTATGAATCCATGATCTAATGGAGATTTGTTTTTTTACTATGCTTTTTTTTTTACTCACAAGCCATTTTTCTTGCCGATGTATAGTATCAGTTGCATCTTTTGACACGCAGATTATCATTATAGTCGAAATGTTTAACTAATTAATAACTATTATTTAAAGTGTATGATCCTAGATGAATTACACTAAAGAAAGGCGTTATGAGTATATACTGGCGTTCACCCGTAGAGTACATTTGTCCATATTTGCTAAGTTAATATTCTGCCTGAAAAAGATAAGAAAATATTAATCTGTTTAGAATGAGGGGTAATGATACCCATCATAATCATAATTTCCATCGTATTCAGAATATTCTTGAGCATTTTGTACGAACAATTCATAACCACATGCATAAAAAGTCAATAGGCACTGTTCAGCATTTGACATTATGAGCGGGTAGAGTTATTGTCCACATAGCATCATTACATTACCTTACCATGTATTATTATTATTATTATTTTATTGCAATGGTAACCATCAGTCATAGAACTCACTATACTACTGTAACTCTATTATAACACGGGTAAAATCTTGTTAAATGTAGAAGGGTCTTTCGCATATCTCCTTGTAAAAATATTATATACTATAGTATTTCATGTATGGTCCAAATCCTCGTTTGTCATTTAATGTCTTGTTTCACATGTTTAAAGGCAATGGGTAATGTTTTTTATTCAGAGAAGACAGTTATCTTGAAAAAGGCCCTATATAATCACGATATTCTATGAAGAAGAAAAAATCACACCTCAACGTTATGGTCAAAAAATTTAAAAAGCAAATTATGTTGCGCTTTAACTCATTTATTACCACCGTTTACAATAACCATTGCTCCTTTTGATCACTAATTGAATTCACGGTTATGTTATGAAGAAACTCATATTTTATTTTGCTTCCTATACTATCATATTATGGGTATGAGACAAAAACATGAAATAAAGTGCGACAGACAGATGAAAAGCAGTTATCTTGTTTCCTTCTTTTTATTCTTGTAACAACCAAAAGGTCTTCATTCAGTTGCTTAGAATATGCGATCACATATGCTTTCCCTGTTTATACGACCTTTTATGCCTTTTCTTTATTCTAATCTACATTTCGACATTCCTCTTCTCTCCTTTTTTTAAAAAACTCAATCCTAATTTTCTTCTTCGTGCTATTCACCTTTCTTCTATATGCTTTCCTTCTCATTGCTATAGTTTTTGGTATACTTAGTTTTATAAAATGTTTTAATCCTCCACAGAGAAGTAGTATCAATCCAAAACAACGTAAATAGAACTTAATTTAAAATATGCATACTTAGTAACTTTAAAAAAAAATTAAAAAATTAGAATAGAAAGTAATAAAAACCCTTGAAATAAAACATATTACTACCCCTAATGATGACCGATTTTCGATATTGATATTTGAAGACTAATTATTCAATTGACATGGAATTGTATATCGGTAGTAATCATTAAAAGGGGGCTGTGAAATAATGGAATGTGTCAAAAATGACTATGACGAAAAAGAAGATGATCAAAATGTTCATACACTGTAGTAATATTTGACGTGATGATGGTAATCATGATTGGGATGGTGATGATGATGATGCTAATGATGATAGTGATTATGATGATGATGATGATGGTGATATAGTAATTATGATGATGATGATAATTATGATGATTGCAATTTAATTTCGATGTAATCTTACGACAACCGAATGATAATCAAAACTGTGCCGTAAATAATATTTGTAATACTTGTGATGATACTTACACGCAAACGTGATGAAGAAAATATTAAATAGGCTTATAATCGTCGTAAAAAGGCAAAGGCTTGATGAATAAGAAAAAAATGTAATGAAAGGCAATCAAAACATAGAATAAATATCATAATCCTACAACTTTTTTTTCTAAACTCGAAACAATATCAACATGCAATACGGGTAAAAGCAAGAAAGCGACATGGAACATAATAGTTGGCTAAACCAACTGATAGAGTGAACTTTGAATGTAACGGATCATGTTGGAGGGAAGAGATCGAGATCGAGAGGGAGAGCAGACAGAGAGAAACAAGGGGAAATGAGAGAGAGAGAGAGAGAGAGAGAGAGAGAGCAATATGAAGCGGGGAAGGAGACATGAGAAAGAAGAGAGAGAGGGGGAGATGGAAGAAGAGAGAGAGAAAGAGAGGGAGAGAGAGAGAGAGAGAGAGAGAGAGAGTGAGACAGGGAGACAGAGAGAGACAGAGAGACGGATCGAGAAAAGAGATCAAAAGAGTTCTTTCGAGAATGATACATAAGGTTGGCTTCGATGCAAGAGGACGCTATACCACTTTTGAAACTAGTCCATACCAACCATTTTCCCAAAACGATTGCGACTGATGCCAACTCTTTTCTGAAATATTCTCAGTCGTTAAAGGCCAAGTCCACTCCAAAACTAAGTAAAAGTGAAATCCGACAACTAATGAGGAAGTTATGAATTTTTATTAAGGTATAAAAAAAAAAAAAAACAAGGAATTTTAATAAAAAATCAGTACACAATTTGGTTATCAGTTTGTGACGTCTTTGCCTCACTATTTATCAATTGCTTTATTTAATTGTATACCATTAATTTTCCTTTTTATCTCCAAAACTTGATTTCCCCATATTGTACGATTTGTGTCATATTGCGTGCATGGCATTTCACAAAACTCTTTAATGAACTTTGAAGAATTGATTCTATTTTCTGAATATTGTATATTCACAATCATTGATTTTTCATATACATAGTTTAATATCAAAATTCACATTTTTCTTGATTTAACTGAAAAATTGCTCTTTATTAGTGCATCAATTTTTAAAACTATTAATATAACTTGGATGCTGTTGTGATGAAATAAGATTTTTAGGCGTAAAATTGGAAACTTATAGTATCAATATAAAGAAAACAATTAGTGGATAGTGAGTCGAATGACGTCATAGACCCATGAGTGAGTTGCCAGTTTGTCTTGTGATTTTCAAAGTTTTTCATGTCATTAAAAATTCATAACTTTCTTATTAGTTTTGATCAAACTTTTTATGATTGGTTTGTCTGATATTTTTGCTTTTATTGCATTAAAGTTGATTATATTTTTAATGGACTTCCCCATTAAACAGGAAAGCCTATTTTGACACTAAGAACTTTGAAGCAATAAGAGTAATAAAATAATCAGTTACAGAGACAACCACAACAAATTACAAATTGAACAAGATCAAAAGTTTCATTCCTTTTCTTTTACTGGCGTACAGATGACTTGTAAACTGCGCAACTTTGTAAAGAATTGATGAAAAAGTGTAATATGTTATTCAATTCATTTTTCAATTCATTTTTTATTCCATTCGTCATATAAAAATAATTATAACATTGATATTTACAGATAAGTAAAGAACATACAAATAACATAACGAAAGATAAACATAAAATACAAATATATATATACGAATGAGGAAACGCAAGAAAGAACAAAAAAGTCTTAGCCGGTGCTGGTCCATCAAGACATATTACAGAATTTTAACCTATATAACTTAACACCTTACACCTAACACCTAACAACTAACACCTAACATCGAACATCTGATTGCATACATGTACAACTAATAACATGCTATTCACAAAAAACGTAATTGTTTGTAGCTCTTTTTAAATGTATTCAGAGTTGGGCTTGCTTAACATTAGGAGGTGACTCATTCCATAAAATTGGTCCTTTAAAGAAAATTGAAATTTTAGAGACAGAAGTTTTAACAAGTGGTGTTGGCCTTCCAACTCCCATTCCCTGCATATCTCTCTCTCTCTCTCTCTCTCTCTTTCTCTTGCTGTCTTTTTGTCTTATTCTCTTTCTCTGTATTCAATGTTTCTGTTCATCTGTTTCTGTTCATCTCTCTCTTTTTCGCTCGGCCAGTCTATCAGTCTATCTCGTTATGCC